CCCCTCCGACAATTCTCCGCGACAATGGGCGGCCATCTTGGACAGTTTCCACTGCTGTGTGTCTCCATGCCTCCATGTTCTTTTCTCAACTCCACCAAAGCTTGAAGCGTTTATTGACTCTCTGTCCGTGGGACTCGAACCCCTCCCTCTGTGTCCTTGTGCAGGTCCTCAGCTCAGTTCCAACGGGTCAGACGAGGAGCCCCCCCCACCCCCCAAGCCTGCACGTCCACAGTTCTCACCCACGGGTTCGACACCCAACCTGTCCGCCGTGGGTGCAGGAGGGAACGTGAGCCTGAACGCTAGCGTGGCGTCTCTCCCTCACCAGTGGGCCAGCAGTTCCAACCTCCCCGTGGGTCACAGCACACCGGCCGCCGGACCCTCACCGAACACAGACCAGCTCAAGGCGCATGCCTCACAGCACGCCCACATGCACCATCAACACCACCAGCAGCTGCTTCTTCAGCAACAGCAGCAACAACAGCAGCAGCATGCCCAGGAACAGCAGCAGGGACATCTTCCAGCCGCCCCAGGGGCTCACGTAGAGTACCAGCTACAGAATTACTTCCCTGCCTCCGGCTACATGCAGGTACCCATGGATGGATGGATGGATGTGTCAGACTCTCTCTCTCTCTCTCTCTCTCTCTCTCTCTCTCTCTGGTGTGTCTGTCTGTCCCCCATCTCTTTTTCTCTCTCTCTCTCTCTCTCTCTGTTCTCTCTCGCTGTGTCTTTGTCCCCCCCCCCCTCCTTCTGTTGTATCTTATTTTCCTTTCCCAGTATATCTATTATTATTTGCTTTCATCATATAGTAAGCAAACATTCAAATGCTAAGATACCATTTTTTATTTATTAATGGCTTTATTTCAAATGCATGAGTCTGATGACTTTATTCTGAGTTGTGCAACTGTTGGGAGCGGTTGCAGTATAAACCCAAGCAGTTATATTCTATCAGTACATTCTGTGATACTTGGAAAGATCTGTCACGACCTGGTGGAATCAGGCGCTCGTCAATGTTTGGCCATGTGGAGTTATTGATATCATCTTAGAACTTGTTCAGTTGTCCTGCTATTGGTGAAAAAAATGCCCATCTATCTTGAATAGAAGTCAAGATATTTGAGATTGAAGAAAGTGGGGTCGCCTGGTTTCAAAGGTAGAATAAGAGAGAAATGGCCACCAAAGTTTGGTTATTTCCATAGTTTGATAGTCCATGGAAACTGAAAACCTACATCTTTTTTTGTGCCTTTAATCAACGTTTTTCAGTAAATTCACCCAGAAATGAGTTCTTAATTGAACAAAATTATGATGTTAAGCCAAAAAACAAAATTTCAATAAAAATGACCAAACTGACAGATAAATGCGTTTCTTCAATTTCGATATTTTGACGAGCGCTTGATCTCACCCCCCTGCCTCACATATTATAAACTGTAGTATACGTATAATTATAACATTATAAACTGTAGTATGCGTATAATTATAACATTATAAACTGTAGTATATGTGTATAATTATAATTTTATAAACTGAAGTATATCTATAATTGTAAAATTATAACTGAAGTATATAATTGCAATATTATACTGGAGTATGTAATTGTAATATTATAACTGAAGTATATAATAGTAATATTATACTGAAGTATATAATTGTAATATTATAAACTGAGGTATATAATTGTAATATTATAATTGTAACATTGGGAATTTCTGCCACTATTTATATTGTAAGTTGTTTTTATATTTTTTCCTTCATTTTTACTATTCTGTTTGTTGTTTGTGTTTATTTCCTGCCAGTACCGCGGCTCGTGGAGTGTAAGTGGACTGTCGTTATGTGTGCTGTCTGCTCACACTGGTGCACACACACGCTTCAAGTGTCAACATTTGTCTGCTCACACACGCTTCATGTGTCAACGTTTGTGTCCGAACCTGTGTTCATGTGTCAACGTTTGTGTCGGAACCTGTGTTCATGTGTCAACGTTTGTGTCAGAACCTGTGTTCATGCGTCAACGTTTGTGTCAGAACCTGTGTTCATGTGTCAACATTTGTGTTTTAACGTTTGTGTCCGAACCTGTGTTCATGTGTCAACGTTTGTGTGTGTGTGTATGTGTGGGAGGGGGGGTCCCACATGCTACGTTGTTGCAGTCAAATATCGTTCCCAAAGGTTGGGAAAAATAGCTTTGTGGAGACAACATTTGTGTGAGTGGCCT